TCCAGCCGGTGTTAAGCCGGCTGTCTGAGGGCAGAGCGGAGCCGTTCCACCTCCGCTCGGCACCGGACGGCAGCGGCATGGCGCTCCGGGGAGCCTGCCTGCTCCTCTGCCTCCTCTCTCTTGCCCAGGTCTCCGGCCAGCAAAACTCCAAAGTCCGGCAAAAACCGGTGGCTTCCAAGAAAGGTAAGGAGCAGCGGCACCTTCCCGGCAAGAAAACCTGGTGGGTCTTGGGGGGGATGGAATTAACCTGGTCATTTGGGCAGTTGATAGAGCTTTCATGCAACTTTTAAAAAAGCATCTAAAAACCTAATAAAGTGTCTTCCCCCCCCGCCCCCCCCATGGGAATGAGTGGGTAACCCTTCTGTAAAACAGCAGGGATATTGAAATGTTTTGGTGGGTTCCTACCTTGAGTAAATTGGATAGGACAGGTTGGTCTGAACTTCAGAGGACAACATATTTTCCATGTTATCGCTAAGGTTCACTCCAAACTTTTCCTCTATTAAAATCTCCCTTTTTATGACCCCCTACTCCTATTCATTCATTTTTCAGAAGCAAATTAGTGGCAGCTGACAGGCAGCTGTTGTAGATTTGGAGACAAGAGTAGGCAGATAATATATAATCCATTAAATATCAACATGCATCTTTAGTTTAAAACACTTGCCCCGGGTGTATGTCAAACCGTACGCAAGCTGTGACTACTCAGGCTTACCAGAGGGCAACGCACACAAAAAGATGCTTATATTTTCTTTCCCCTAGTGTTTGGTTTTTGGGGTTTTTTTCCTTCTCTTTTCTTGCTACTGTCCCATCCTTTCTCCCTCCGACTCAATGCACGTTAATTATAGGAGAAGGCAGGGAAGGCAGCTGCTTGCGTTGCAGCCCGGTGGCGTGTGAGCCTGCCTGATGCGTCCGACTGCCATCGCGTGGGCTTGGACCGTTCCTGGCGGGCGCTTGGCTGCTTGGAACGAAGTGGGGAGCGAGGAAGAAGCATCCCAGGAATTCGCTTGGCCTGGCTGCACTCTACACTCACCCGGTGGCTATTTTCATCAGATCCTGTCCTTGAGAAATTTCTCCTTTTTCTCCCATTAGATCTTTCTATGAAATTACCGCATAGCTGCATATTCCACATCTCTGGTCTGTGGCTGTTTTCTAGAGCAAAAATTTCCCCTTGGGCTGGTATAGGGTACATACGTGCATTGCACTTACTGGAGGTACCAGGAGAGAGAGAGAGGAGTTTTTTAGAAATTTTATTTTGCTTTCTGTGTCACTGGAACTGCTGTTTGTAACCCATTGGCAACAAGAAACTGGGAGAAAAATCACCTTTTTGACAGGAAAATTGGGTTCCAATTTAAAAACATTTTTCAGGGTGGGGGGACGACACAATTTTTTTTCTTTTTTCTGAAAATCGAGCCCTCTGCAACCACTGGTGGCAATTTCTCCTGAGAGCTTTGGGGTTTCTTTTCGAAGCCATACAGTGGGTCAGCTGCCCTGCCTTTACTGGAAACTTCCAGCATTTCTTGGTTAACATTTTTCTGATTTTTATCAATGCCAGGGGGTGGCTGGCAGAAGAAGGAGGAAAGCTCTAGAAATCCCCCTCCTCTTTTCCCCCAGCCCCTTGCCACATCCAAGC